CGGTGGCGGACTTGGCGGCGGACTCGGCAGTGGACTCGGCAGTGGACTCGGCAGTGGACTCGGGGGGGGCGGACTCGGGGGGGGCGGTCAGGCCGGCTGCAGGTACTCCCAGGCGACGCTGCCGGCGGGCGGCACGGGCGGCTGCCAGGCGGTGGCGGCCAGGGTCTCGACCTCGAGCGCGGCCCGCCCGGCGGCGACGGCGGCGTCGAGCTCCGGCGCCTCGGCCAGCACGGCCTCGCGCAGGCCGGCCGCGAGACCGTCGGGAGCCGACTGGCGGGCGGCAGTGTCCTCCAGCCCCGCTTGCAGGACGATGCGCAGCGGCGCCCCCGGCCGGGGCCGCGGGCGCACCCGGAAGCGCACCATCGGCCGGCCGATGGCGCGGACGATGCCGGGCGTTTCGAACTGCCGGCGGCGGGTCCAGAAGGCGACCTCCGGGCGCTCCTCCACCGCCTCGCGCCACTCCATCGGAGTCAGCAGCACGCGGCCGTCGTCGGGATCGGCGATGCACTCGCCCAGCCGCCCCAGCAGCCGCACCGCCAGGGTCGGCGTCGGCGGGTCCGGCTGGACGATCTCCACCAGGTCGCCGGTCCAGTAGCGGATCAGCGGCATCATCTGGACGAAGGGATAGAGCGAGGTGAGCACCAGCACCCCGCGCCCGGATGTGCAGGGCGCGCCGGAGACGGGGTCCACCACCTCCGCCACGATGTGCGGATCGAACAGGTAGAGGTCGCGGCCCGGCACACGGCTGGCACCGCCGAACTGCTCGACCAGGCTGTAGCGGTCGATCAGCACCGCGCCCCAGGCCCGCTCCAGGCGCCGGCGCGTGGCGGGCGGCAGCAGATCGCCGTGGGTGTGCAGCGCCGCGACCCCGAAGCCGGAGAGGTCCCCCGCCTCGCGCTCCGCCACATGGGTGAAGGCGCGCAGGGCCGTGTCGGTCCCGGCGATCGCCTCGACCGGCGGCACCACGTCGGGGTTGGCCTGCAGCTTGCGCATGAGGTTGAGGCTGGTGACCAGCGAGCGGTCGTCGAACAGCGTGCCCTGGACCACGAAGACCGGCGTGGGGATGCGTGTCGGCGTGCCGTGGATCGCCTCGGCGAACTTCAGGCAGGTGGTGATCCGCCCGCCGGGCTCGTGCAGGTCGGCGAAGAAGCCGGAGATGAAGTCGCTTTCCTCCTGCGAGCGGCAGACGAAGAGGCTGTCGCCCGTGGTGCCCGAGGTGTACTGCAGGCTGGCCAAGCGGTGGCCCGGCGCCAGGAAGGCGCGCCAGCGCTCGATCACCAGAGCCTTGGAGGTGAAGGGCAGCGCCGAAAGCTCCGCCGGCTCGCGCACCGCCTGCCAGGGCACCTCCGCGTAGAGGTCGCGATAGACGGGCACCTCGCGCACCGCATGGGCGAGCGTGACCGGCAGCAGCTTGCGCTGGATGGCCGCGGCCGCTTCGGCCGGCTCCACCCCTTCAGTCGTCACGCAGCAGCTTTCCGGCGTCCATCAGCCCGGCGCGCGGCAGCGTCTCGCTCAGCTCCATCAGCGCCTCGGCCTGGGCAATCTGCACCGTCTCGGCCGCCTCGGCCACCACCACGCGCAGGGCGGCGGCCTCCATCGCCTCGGCCGCCAGGGTCGTCAGGGCCTCCTTGTTGCCCTCGCTGGCGCTCTTGAACAGGTCCTTCAGCTCGGCGATCTCTTCCTTGGAAACCAACGTTTTCGGGTCCATGGGATCCTCCCCCGGGCGAGTCCAACCGACTGCAACGCCAGGAATAATGGCACAACTCAGCATTGCGGGAAACCGGATTTCATTACTATCAGAAGAACCCGCGCGCGCCCGCCTCCCGTAACCGCCGGCGCAACGCCGCCAGACGGTCGGCGACGGCGAACTCGGCGAGGCAGGTGGCCGCCCCCAGACCGGCCGGCAGATCGGCCGGGGCCACCCGGCAGCGCGGCGGCAGGGGCAGCGGCAGGGACGCCCGCGCCGCATCCAGCAGGTCGTTGTAGCGTGAGCCCGGACCGACCGCCTGCCCGTCGCAGAAGAGCCCCAGCACCGGCACCCGGGCGGTCGAGCGCAGCGCCACCTGGAGCGCGCCGGCGCGCAAGGCCGCGGTCAGCTCGTCGGGAGTCAGGGCCGCGCCGTCCTCCAGCCATAGCCGCCGGCCGTCGAAGCGCGCGCGCAGCCGCCCGGCGGCCCCGGGGCGCAGGATCCAGAAGGGCGCGACCTCGGGCGGGGCAGGCCGCAGAACCCCGCCCCCAGCCCCGCCCCCAGCCCCGGCCCCAGTCCCGGCCCCAACCCCGGCCCCCTGCGCCGCAAGCTCCCGGCCTCCGGCCAAGGCGTTCAGCGCCACCTGGGCCGCCGGCCAGCCGTCGAGCAGCCGCGCCAGCAGGTCGGGCCCGAGCAACGCGGTTTCCGTCTCCCGGTCGACCAGCCAACGATCGGGCGTCACGCCCAGCCGCTCGGCCAGTTCGCGCAGCACGGCGATGTTGCGCGCCGCCAAGGAGCCCTGCGGCCTGGCGTCCAGGTAGGCGGCGCGCAGCCACCCGGGCACCTCGCTGGCGCCGAAGGCGGCGGCGATGCGCGCCAGGGCCGCCGCGTAGAGCTCCGGCGCCACGACGACGCGATCCGCCGGCACGCCGCTGGGCAGGTGCTTGCGGTTGAGGCCCTGCTTGCGCGGCTGCGGCCCCGGCGTCACCGGCACCCGGTGGAACTCGTCGTTCGAGGTCGCCGCGTCCGAGGCCGCCAGGTAGAAGAGCGTGCGGCAGGCCGGCTCGACGCGTCGGCAGTGGGCCAGGGCGACCAGCTTCGCCAGAGTGCCGAGGCCGCCGCCGCAAAAGCCGGGCTGCCCGCCGGCCACCAGCATGATCGCGCCGTGCGGGAGGCCGAGGGTCGTGCGCGCCCGCCGACGCAGAGCCCGCACCTCCGGGCACACCGGCGCCTCATGGAAGCGGCGCGCCGCCGCCGGCAGCTCGGCCAGGCTGGCGACCAGCGTCGCCTCGCCGCCAGGCGGAACGGCCGGCCGCACGGCGCGCGTGCCGCGCTCAGGCCGGCTTCAGCGCGGCCTGCGCCTCGCGCACCGCCTCGGCCCGGGCGACCGCCTCGCGCACCACCCGCACCACCTCTGCCGCCCAGGCGGTGGGACCCAGCAGGAACCACTGCATGATGCTGAGATAGCGCTCGCGCGCCAGCTCCTCGGTGACGGAGCAGCCGGGGTTGAGCTGCGGCAGGTCGGGATTGTCGCGGTACAGCGGGCGCAGGTAGATCGGCTCGACATGCCCCTCGAAGACCGGCACGCCCTCGGCGCGCAGCACCGCCAGCAGGTCGTCGCGGGTCAGCCCGCCCGCCGCCTCCGGGCGGAAATGGAACGGCAGGCTGTAGATGGACCAGCGGTCGACGCCGGGCAGCGGGCGCGCCGGCACCAACGCGTCGTCGGGCTCGGCCAGCGCCGCGAAGGCCTCGCGCATCGCCAGGCGCCGGGCGATCTGCGAGTCCAGCTTCTTCATCTGGCTGCCCAGCAGCGCGCCCTGGAAGGCCGAGATGCGGCCGTTGGTGCTCAGGCGATGCCGTTCGAAGGCCGGCGCCCCGGGGACGGAGAAGCCCTGATGATGGGCGAAGAGCTCGCCGAACAGGCGGGCGTCGCCGCAGGCCACGCCGCCGCCCTCGCCGCTGTTGAGCGGCTTGTCCTGCTGGAAGCTGAAGGTGCCGAACTCGCCGAAGGTGCCGAGCCGGCGCCCCTTCCAGGTGGTGCCGATGGCCTGGGCGCAGTCCTCCACCAGCCAGAGGCCGTGGCGGTCGCACAGCGCGCGCAGGGCCTCCATGTCCGGGCAGAGGCCCGAGAGGTGGGCGACGATGACCCCGACGCTGCGCTCGGTCAGGCGGGACTCGAGGTTGTCCAGGTCGATGCAGAGCGTCTCGGGCGAGAGCTCGACGAAGACCGGCCGACCTCCCGCCTTCAGGATCGGCGTCACCGTGCCGAAGTAGGTGCCGGCCTGGACCAGCACGTCGTCGCCGGGGCGCAGGCCCAGCGCGGCGAAGGCCAGCTCGATGGCCACCGTGCCGTTGGCCACCGCCAGGAAATGCGGGCTGCCCAGGAAGTCGGCGAAGGCCCGCTCGAACGCGCCGGTCGGCCCCTCGTCCCACTGCCCGGTCTTCAGGCGGCACCAGTGGGTGGAGCGCAGCACGCCGGCCAGCGCGGCCAGGTCCTGGTCGTCGTGTTCCGGCCAGAGACCGTCGATCTCCGCCTTGCTGAAACAGGGCGCGCGTTCGTCGAGCAGGGCGAGACCGAGCGACATGGCTGTGAACCTCTCTTGTTTCAGGCGCGGCAAACCCTCTGCCGCGGACCGGGAGCCCGCGCGGGCATCACGGCGCGGTCGCCGCCAACGCGGCGGTCTGCCGGCCGAGCAGCGCCTGGGCCGCGGCGACGATGCGCTCCGGCGCCTCCTGGCTGGCCCGGAAGCCGACCGCGCGGGTGGTCGCCACCGCGCCCAGGCCGCGAATCAGGTGGCTGTGGCGCTCCCAGCCGTCGAACACCAGCACCACCGGCTTGCCGAGCGCCGAGGCCCAGCCGAGCTCGACGCAGGTGCCGTCGCTGCGCAGCGGCGCACCGTCGCGGCCGTCCGGCAGCAGCGCCACGAAGCAGTCGCAGGCCTGCATCCAGCCGAAGTCGCGCTGCGTGACCTCCAGGTGCAGCCCGTCGGTGTCGAGCGCGCCGAAGCCCTCGAAGCGGTGGGCGGAGAGCACCGTGAAGCCGGCGGCCTCGAAGGCGGCGAGCACGGCCTCGATATGCCGGCGGAAGGCGCCGTCGAAGCCCTCGGCCGTCAGGGCGTGCTGGATCGGGCCGCCGACGAAGACCGTCGGCCGCGGCCCGACTCGCAAGCGGTCGCGTGACAGCCGCTCCGGCTGGAGACGGTCCGGCTGGCAGCGATCTGGCGGCCGGCGATCTTGCTGCGGAGAATCGGGCACGCGGCGCTCCCCCTCTTTGCCCCTCGTCGTTAGCTCGCCGCCGGCACGGCCGGGCGCGGCGGCGCGGTCTCGGCCGGGGCTCGTGCGTCCAGATCGGCCAGCACCTGCGCCGCGACCTGTTGCGCGCCCTCGGGCCCGATCCAGCGCGGCAGCGGCCGCGGATCGGCCGCCGCGGCGCGCAGCAGGTC